TATATTCTGAAAGTTTGATATGTATTTGATAATATTCTGATATGTATTTGCTTTCTTATTATATCACATACGTTTGATATGTATAGGTTACTTAATAATAAACGTCGAAATAGTTTTCCTACAAATACACGGAATTATATGAACATATGTATAAATGTATGTTTGTATGTATGTATGTATGTATGTATGAATAAATGTACATTTCGAGGAAAACTATGATTAAAATCGATATTATTTTATCGAAAGTTGAGAAATTGTTTTCTACTTTGTTTAAAAAAATCGACGTGTATATTTTATTTATTTGATCTTCGAGCTTGTACTATGATGCTATATGCATATGCACGCTTGCACGCGTAGGTGTATGTGTGTGAGAGAGAAATAGAGAGAGAGAGAGAGAGAGAAAAATGAAATCCCCTGTTCTTTTTTTTACTAAAGCACCACCATGACGAGTCGTTCGAGAATTCATGGGTCGAAAGTCCCTAGGTGGGCTTAAAAGTTCGAAGCTGATTTCTACAACCGATTACTTTTTTCAAAATTCTTCGAATCAAATCTTTTTGTTTTCACAATTAGAAACAGTAAAACTATAAGCCTAACTAGCAACGAGTCTTCACATAAGCATAAAATATCTCGAAAGAGAGTAATTCATTTTTTACAATCAACTAGGAACTTTTAGCTCGTCAAAGAACTTTTAGACTCATCCTACATGTTCTCGTGTTCTATGGACCAATATTGGTTTTGTTTTTCCTAGATGACGATTACACTCTTTTTACATATCAATCTACTTTTTGTGTAGTAATTAAGTTCTCTTGTACTTTTTTTTGTGTTATTTTTTTTGCTTCTATTCCGGTCGAAAGATCGCCCGTCCGATCGTAGCGAAATTAACAGCAATGGCGGCTTACAACAGGTGAGTCAAATTACAGTCTGTGAAATGGAAACGGAGATACAAAAACAAAAATATACAAACAAAACGATACTTTTGGTTTATCTTCTCAATACTTTTGAATACTTTTTCTATTTTTTTCATTTTAAATAAATAATTCGTATAAATTAAATAACACAAGATGATATATAGATAGATAGATAGATAGATAACATCAGTTATAACATAAAATAAACATCGCTAAAAATTAACCTTATATCGCTTTAAATAAAAATAAACAACGATAATAAAATAAAATAAAACGTATGAATGATTTAAAATATACGAATAAAATATATCAAATATAATCGAAATAAGAAAATAAATGTTTAAATACGTTCACGTAATAATTAAATCATCTTCCCTTTTTTTATTTCTAATATTTTCCGAAGTTTGTTACGGAGAAAAAAAAGAAAAAAAAAAGTATATTAAAATAAAAAAGAGAAAGAGAAAGAAAAAGAAAAAGAGAAAAAAAAAGAGAAAGAAAAAGAGAGAGAGAGAGAGAGAGAGAGAAAGTATAAAAAGAAATAAATATTCGTGAAAAAGTAAAAAGATCAGCGATACTATTGTACGTTGTAGAAATCGGTTTCGGATTTGCCGGGCTTTGGAAATCGAGACGCGGGCTTTTTTAAAAAGACGAATGGTCAACTTTATCTTGGCTGGTTTTATTCTCGCTTTCTTGGTGATGTACGGACCCATCCCCGTTCTTTTTCCAGAAGGATCGTCAGCATTCTTCTTCTCTCTCTCTTTTTATCTATATCCTTTTGCTCCAATCTCGCATGTCAGACTATAAGAATCGTTTCTCTCTCTCTCTCTCTCTCTCTCTCTTTTTTTCTTTCTCATCCTACAAATCCCTCCTACCCCCTACTCTCTCTCTCTTTTTCTCTCCTGCATGAAGATATCCGATATAAGCTTCTTCATCGATTCGAACGGAAACACATCGACGGCATCTTCTTTTCTCCGAAGATTTACATCGGATTTTTGAGTGCTCTTATTCGTGATTGGTCGAAAAAAAGAAATGATCGTTCCGACGTAAAAAAGAAAACAACAACATAAGCCAAACAAAAAAAAAAATAAAAAACGCTTTCCAATTTAAACCCTTTTTATGTTGTTACTGTTGTTCGTTTCACATTCGAAACGGGACTCGGCATGATGGTATGGCGGCCATTTTGTGAAATACGATAATCTTAACGACACGATATAACAACTTCCAATGTGGATTATAAAAATATTAAATCTTTCCTTATATATATATATGTATATATGTAATATTTCTGACTAGATTTAACCTACTGATATGTTCTTCTTCGATCGCTGTCTTTTATTTACTTTTCTTTTTGTTTCCCCACCCCCAACCCATCGTTTCCCCACCCACCCGTTTCCTTAACTCGAAACTCACGGACCAATGTGATCCACAGGGCTGACACGGGGCTGAGAGATACATACATCCCTTTTTTTATTTCTATATCTTATGCTTTGATACTATTTCCACCCAATTATCTGATTCCCACCCCTCTTCCTAACCACGATCTCATTCTTCTTTCTCTTAACCCTATACTACCCCTTTCTTATCATTTATTTATTTATACATACCTATATATATATATATATATATTATATATACTTTTTTGTTCTTATTTACTCAATTAACCTCCTTCCCGTTCCCCTATATCCTACCTTCCCCCTTACCCCGTATCTCTATTTTATTTTGGCCGGCGTTACTGTTACTTCGTGTACGTATAGTGTACGCATACGCGTATTAGAGTTGAATGAAAAGTTCGTGCCGATTTTTATTATTTTTAATTATATACTCGATATAATATTGTGCCGATAATTATGATAATGGCTTAATTATAAGTCAAAAAAATTATGCACATTTATTTTATGAATTATTTAATGATATAAATAATTTGAATATAAAATAAATCATAAAATTCATCTTTCCTATATATTTTATATAATTATTTATAATATAAATAATATTTATAGATATATAAAAAAATTAATTATAAAATTCATTTTTCCAATTTTCGTGATTCAGTCCATTGTCATAATTACCGGACACATATGTTTTTAAATATATATCGGAATAGAAAAAATGTTGTTTGTAAAGTTTTCATTAAAAAATTGCCACAAACTTTCCAAACAATCTTCTTATGCTTATACGTTTGTGTGCGCGCGTGTGTGTCGAATTTTGTTCGTAATAATGTGTTGCGTGTATTTTGTTGTTTTAGTCTCTTCATTTTCTCATTGTATTTTGTCGTATTTTGTTTCCTTTTCTTTCTTTTTTTTTTTTTTCTTTTTTTTTTTTTTTTTTTTTTTTTTTTTTTTTTTTTTTTTTTTTTTTTTTTAAATACTTCTCTTATTCCTGTTTAACCCGTTAATGTGGGCAGTCACTTGAGAATAAAACGAGTATGTAACAGAGCGCATATCGATGGATCGTTGCTTCTCTTGCATTGAAAAAATCGATTTTCGAGCCGAAGCAACGTGCAACAGCCTATATTATGTACGTAAGATATATATCGCCGATCGCCATATTGTGCTCGATTCAGAGACAAATACATATATTGTACGTATGTACATATATACAAGAAGAAAAGAAAAAGAAAAAAAAGAACGGTTGAAAAATGTGTGGAAGAAGACGTGATCATTGCGTCGTCCTGTTTTAAAAAAAGGAAACTATGAAAATAAGCTTCCGTACTTCTTCGAACACCACCGTGTGCACAAGAGTACATTCCCCTTTCTTGTGATTAAAGAAATAAATTTAATATTCTTATTCTTTCTTTCTTTTTTGCTTTTAAATAAAAAAAAAATCGAACAGAGTTGAGAGAATTAGAAAAAAAAAAAAAAAAAAAACCTAACAAGTTGTACGTTGCAATTTCCGAAGTTATTCGATCGAAACGATTCAACGTTACGAGAACGATTTAACAAAATTGAAAGAACGTTTTGCTTTTACCTTCTCATTCTTATTCGTTTAGGTTGAAATTTTGAAAGAGAAAGAGAAAGAGACGGGGAAATGAAGATGGATCAATAGAAAAGTGGAAGAGAATTTGTCGAGAGGTTCGCTGATAATAATGGTACCAGAACAAAGATGGTTACCACCTATCCGACACATTCTCTATCTCTAATTCTATCTTTCTCCGTCTCTATCTTTGTTCTTGTCTTTCCGCATTTCCTACTTTCGTAGATCAGATAAATCGCATGCACTCGATTTAACCGAGTGCGTTGTTTTGTACGGCTTTTAACGAGTTCCTTAAACGAATCACTCACTATTGTTAATCCTTTTAAATCGTTTCTAATTAAAGGAATACATATATGCCGATAATTATAATTACAGCCTAAGTCAACAAATATTTTATGATTTATTTTATTGTATAATATAAAGAAATCATAAAATTCTCATTATTTCGAATTAGTTGGCTTAGTCTACTGCCATAATTACCGTTACATATTTACATAGAAGATCCTCTTATATGCATATGCACGTATGTATATTTTATTAGCAATACTTTCTTTGAAATACATGAATGAATTTGTTGACGTTTAATTTCACATCTGCTATTTTTAAAAATATATTTTCATTGATCAGAAAATTTGTAAATTACATACAAAATACGTTTTTCATTCGAATTCAATTATCGCAACTCTGTTCGTAATCTTAAATGATTAACTACTTGATTTTCGCATTAGAATTTGCTAAATTAATTGACGATTTTTAATACCAATAATATTTTTAATGGTAATAATTTGATTTTAATTATTAAATCGATTCGAATACAGTTTTAATTATAAACGATCGAAGAAAGGGGAATTAAGAAGTCTCTGAATCGAGCACAACGAAACGAGTATTTGAATCTTCGATATGCATGCAATTATTTATACTTCTGTATGGAAGTATAAACAAATCGAAGGATTATTGTAGGAAGTAGTACATTAGCACCGTATTTTTGTTGATACCACCAATGTTAAAGAATCATGGAAGTATATATCCTGATCCAACGTTCGTTCTTGATCAAAATTACGTCTTCCTCTCTCTCTCTCTCCTTCCCTCTTTATTTCCTATTTTTTTTTTAATTAATAAACAAAAAATATTCTCTAGCTAGCCACGTGACATGATATTAGAGTCAAGTTTTGGAAGAATGAAAGATGGACGCTGTCATGGCGTCCAAATCACGTGGTCAGTCCCGTCACATGACCATATCACGTGACACAGTCCCATCTTCTTGTAGGAATTTCTATCGAACGAACTATAGTACAATCAACGTTCAATAACTTCTTGTAACTTGCAATTCGAGATTCTCGCCTGCGAGTATCTTTTGAATCGATTAAAGGACGTCTAAGTTTTCATTTGACACGTTATCCGAAGCTCCAATGGCGCGCTTTTTCTTTTCTTTGATTAAACGAGGTAGAGAATGTGAAAATACGTAAGGATAGTCATTGTATTGTCGCAAGTAGATGATGCGGATTTGATTATAATCAGTCGACTAGGATTAATTGGGTATATGAACGATGTTATCTTCTCTATCTTTGAGTTTGATGATAATCTCAGAACTAGTATGAAAAAAAAAGAAAAAGAAGAGAGGGAGTGAACACGTAGATCATCAAGAACGAACGTTCATCGAAATATCTATGATGGCTATTCCTCGGGCCAGCCGAGATCCTCGCCAACCAGTTCATAAAATCGCTGATTATGTTCGTTGAAGAACCTTCTGAGTTTGGTGACAACAACTGGACTAACTCTTGGATGTTTACGACCTTTGCTTTCTCTCAAACATTTTTCTGAGGTTTCATTGCGTAGACAATAAAAGCCTTTAGTGTGATTGAAGTAAAAATTGTGCCTTCCTATTCTTGGCTCTAACCCTAGAAAGTTCTCGATCTTTCGTAATTGCGGTACGGGATCTTCGATCAATTGATCCCCGTTAACAATGAGAATTTGTTCTCTTGGAAATACCTCTAACCAACGATGCATGAACGTGTGATAGAGAGAAATGGCGACTGGCCTGTAGGATTCGTTGATGGTACCATCAGGACGTATCACCAGTTCCTCGAAGCTACGCGTAGCTTGAACTTGCTGAGATTGTTGATTATTAATAACGTTGCTACTACGTGATGACGAGGTGCCATTGCTGTTGATGTTGTTGCTGCTAGTCAAGGTTGAAGCAGTAGCAGCATGGATACGTAACTGCGTGTAATCTGATATGGCTCTGGTAACGGGCTCCCTCACGATCAATAATAACTTCACGCTGGCGTTCATTGCTCGTATTCTCTCTGGTACCTGAGAACACAAGGACGATAGGAGGAAGAAGAAGTGTTACCAAACCTGCTGCTACTACCGAGAAGGAGAATCCAATGATGTTGGTGGAGAACTATTATTCCCTTTGGGATGTAGAAGGTAATGTAATAGGGTTGACAAGAGACATTGTACTTGTTAAACGAATATAAGATATTATTTTGAAAGATAAAAATAAAACGAGTCAAAAAGAGAGGATATATCATACGAAATCTTATAAGAAAATGTAAAACACTTGATATAACTTCCAATAAATAATAAATAATAGTTCTAACAATTTATATCGACTTACCTCAGGTGTAACGAAATAACTTGGACTTTTCTCGATGGTAATTTGACCTCTAACGGAATATGGCATTTTCCTACGGTACCATTCGAGTCCTTTCCCATAATTATCGTCACGATCAAAGAAATGTACTTCTCCTGAAGCTTTCTGTATTTGCGGATGTAGGAAAAGCATCTCGAGGAGTGCCCTGGTGCCGCATTTTCTCACACCAATAATGATCGCTTGAGGTAGGTGACGACTCGTACGTGTATAATGGACCTTACTGGAGAACAAAAGTGGTGGCGTTGCACGAACCTGGGTTACCAATTCAATCGCACGTCCTTCGACAGCTGAAGCAGCATGTAAACTGTACACAGCGCTGTCATAGAGCACGTGGAAGGTTAGGAAGAGGGATAACAGGGCGACCGTGAGGAATGCCGCGGCCATCTTTGGCCTTGAAATACCGACCACGAGTATGCAGTCCGACGTGTCGCCCTCGGCCGGCCTCATGGCGGAGCGGGGCATCCACCTGAAACAAATATTATCTATATTATTATCTATTCTAATAATAAACAGCAACAAAATCAATTATTGTACATATTATTCAGAAGTAAAATAATCTTTCTTGGATATAATTTTATACGTAGTTTATTTGGTATATTATACAGGATTTAGAGTGAAAATAACTGTGCAACATAAATTAGAGCATGGCTAAATAAATGTGTGTATATGAATAATAATAATTATAATAATAATAATATATATATCATAATAATAAATATGAGAAAATTATGTGTATGGGTATGAAGTAGGTAGAGATAATTGTTTTAGCTAAACCAAGACACATGTTCAATGATAAGCATTAAAGCGTGTCACACAGCACGCTCTAATAGGTTGATGCGAACATTGTGGTTACTCTTACTATTCACTAGCTTCGTCCCTAGCTCGTTAGTATCGCGTGTAAGCAGAATTATATCGTATCATCCGTTTGCGAATGTAACTCCAGCGAGCGTATACATATATATATAACTTAGGTATTAGTATATATATATTCTACGTAGAAAACGAACGATGGAAAGTACATTGCACATTGAATTTGCTCGACACGCTAATCGCATGCCACTTTAAATACATACGAGAGTTCAAGGGGATGTTGTGGGGTAGTAAGTTTGCAGAAAAAAAAAAGAAAGAAAAAAAATGATGATAATCACCGAGGAAAATGCAACGTGTCGGTAACGAGCCTTTGAAAATCACTGTATTATCGGTCGTACTAAACGATAAATCAAGAAGAGTAATAGTATCTACCCGCATGATCTTTCAAAAATACTGACACGAAATCTTCTAAATACGCGTTAGTATATTAGAAAAACGAGAATAGATGAGATTAATAGTTGTAATTCATGATTATACGTTCTATCTTACCTTACCATTTATAGTCTGTAACTGTTCGCTATTCTATTATTATTATTCATATATTAATAGTGAACCAGAATTCAACATGGTAGAACTAACAAACATCTATTGTTATCTTTTTGATAGAATATTATTATTAATATTTAAAAACTAATATTTAAACCATTGAATGAAATTCAAAATGGCAGAGCTAACAAAAGTCGAATTAGCCGAACATTCCTATTATTTTAGCCAATTATAGAGTAATAAATACGTAACGAAAGAGAAAACCCAGGGAATACCCGTGCAGGGTAAAAAAGAAAAGATATTAATTAAAAAAGAAGACCCTTCGTTGCGATCGTTTTATTAGGATCGATGATTTCGATTAAGAAGACAGCCGAGCCGTAAAGAATCACATTTTGGCTAATATATTTCCGAGCAGCCCATTTATCTTTGATAAGATAAACGATCGTATTACGATCATGAGATTATCGTCGATGGATTATTTCCGTTAGAAGCCAGCCACCTTCATCCGACTTCACTCCCTCTTTTTTTTTTATCGCTTTTTTATTATTTCGTGCCTTTGTCGTCCATTTTGTTCATCATTATTCGACTTGAAACCAATTTCACGTGTTACGACTCTAACCTCAAAATTTTTTATTTTCAAATCAACGATATTAATTATAATTATAAGGAGTTTTTAAAATCAATTAGAAATATTCGATTGTACCCGTTTTTGTACTTTTATCATTAAAAATTAACCAAAAAGAACAACTTTTTGTACGTATACAAAAAATTTGTTTATAAAATATAGAATAAAGTGGTTCTTTTTTTTCTTTTATCATTACTGACAACTTACTCTTGTATTATAAACCAGAAATCCTTCATGTTTATATATTTAATATACACGAGCACTTTTTACCACGATAATTTAATAATAGAGAAGAAAAAGATAAGAACAAAATGGTAATTAGAAAGATAGTATGGTAGAAAGATTGCCAAGCGATTCGTTTGCACCTCGTAACCCTGTCGATGAAAGTGAAACGTTTATTTTTATATACCATGATACATCCAACGAGAGACAGAGAGATAGATACGCGAAAGATAAGCGATAAAATGGCCGCTCTTGCAACGTCATAAAATTTTTTCACTCTATACACTTCCTCTCTCTCTCTCTTTCTCTCTCATTCTCTTTTGCGCAACCGATAAATCGTAACATGCATAGCAGCATGCGATGTATTCTATATCGGACAGGAAGAATGCAAACGGAGTAGATTGATCGATGTTTTATTTTCATTATTAAACATATTTTATTGGCTTCAATTTCTTCCGAAAAACTTTGGATAAATTTAATTATTAAATTTCATTATTTTTGTATATTTAAAAAATAAAAGATAAAATGTAAACAAGAATATCTACTATAGAGATAGAATCATTAGGTATTCGGTATAATTACCTTAGAATATATATACATCTCTCTCTCTCTCTCTCTCTCTCTCTCTTTGTCTCTGCTTCTCGACACATTGTACATCAGCCTCAGGGTTTACTCTAAATGTAACATTAACAGAGTACCTACATTTCTCGGCTAAGGGAACTGAAGGGATTTACACGTACAAATTCCTAATACGAATGCGTACTTACATATACACGCGCGCGTGCATGTGTGGGTGTGTGTATTTACTATGCACATATGTAAGTTACTATAAATTAATTCATACAATTTCTCTTTCTATTTCTCTTAAACTTTCTCTCTCTTTCTCTTTTTCTCTCTTTCTCGGTCGAATGTAATATAAATAAATACATATATATATATATTTACTGTACACATAGAATTAATATAGATTAGTTTATACAATTTCTCTCTCTCCCATTTTTTCTTTTATTTTCTCTCTCTTTCTCTTTCGAACGTAACGGTTTCTATTAGTTACACTATTTTAGTAAATTCAATATTTGTTGAGAATTATGATCTCACTCTATCTTTCTAGGATCATAGAAATCAGTAGGAAGTTGAACGTAGATTCGTTTCATCAATCTAAGAAGATATCCATACGTATGTAAGCGAAGTAAATAAGGTATCATGGCTTTTGGATTCGTCTAATGCTATCATTTCCATTTATCGGAATGATCTTATTACTAGCAAAATCTTGTTATCTCTTTTACTTTTCTCTCTCTAGTTCTCTCTTACATTTCTCATTCCTTATTCACATCTTTGAAAAGATTAATCTTCGCAGATTTTTGCAAACTTTTCCAAGATATTTTCCCAATTCCTTTTTCCGATATTCCAATAAAATACTATAACAAATCTTATCTCGCGAAACCTAAATCGTTTGTTTTATTATTGCATAGTATAAAAAGAAAATACAAATAAAAATTGCTTCAAAGTTATACGAAGTAAACGTTTAAAGTGAACGATCTGGATGTATCCTATAAAAATGAAAGCAACTGAATAAGAAAAGACGTTGAGTTATAAAAACTATTATAGAAAAATAGAGAAGAAAATAAAAAAAAAAAAAAATATAATAAAAATAATAAAAATAAATACAAAGAAAAGAATAAAAAAGGATATACAATCTTTTCTTCTTTTTATTTCCTCTCTTCCTCCTTTTCTTAAAGCTTGGATGGATAGCTTTCAAGTTGAGAATAGTTAACGAACTTGTGAAAACGAGCAGAGTCAAAGCGGATGATGTAGAGTGTTCTCGATGTCGCCAAGATGGGGTCTCAGAGAGAGAGAGAGAAAGAGAGAGAGAGAGTAAGGGGTGGTTGGGGGAGGACTTGTGTCGCGATCGATTTCTTATATAACGTGTATAAAGCCAGAACAGGCGATACCTTATCGAGGGTAAAGCTACTACTTCCATAAATAATGCAGTGGACATTACGTGCCACTCTGGTTCAGACGATCTCATGTAAAACGTTGTTCTCATCCCCCTCTCCCCCCCCCCTCCTCATCCTAGTTCTCTTCACCATCACCTTTTCCTTTCCCTTTTCTTTCTCCCATTCTCTTCTCCTTTTATTATTATTATTTTTATTATCATTATTAATATTATTATTATTATTATTATTATTATTATTATTATTATTATTATTCTTTTTTTCTCGGTGCACGTTGCAGTAGCTATTTTGCACCATTTCCTATGCCGTACACGTAAAACCATACACGTATTTCTACTATACCTACAAAGTGGTCCACTCAAAGTATTACGAATGAAAATCTACGGTGGCAAATTTTTAATCAAAATTGCTTAATACGTTTCTCTTCTTTGTTTTTCTTTTTTTGCAATTTTTTTTTCCTTTCCCTTTTCCTTTCAGGTTTTAATGTTCATTTTATGTTAATATTGACATGCCTGTGGCGATGATAGTTTGTGAGTGTTAGAAGAGAGTTTGTATTCAGGAGAGTGTATTTACTTACATGTTTGATAATCCACTTAAAATGTTAAAGATTAAAAATTCTGTTCATGTTTTTTTCTTTTTTAGATAATTAATATCTTACAAAATGGTATATATAATTTTTTCAATATTTTTTAAAATGACGTATAGAGGAAATGTGTAATGGTTTTTATTACATCAACAGCCGATGTTTGTACTACACACATATTTTGTTTAGTTAATTGATATTTTACATTTGTATAATTATATGGATAAAAATGTTAAAGTATTTTTGTTGTTGTGATATTAACAGTTATCGTTTACTTTTGTATCTTTCAATGGAAATAACAAATCATTTGTCGTTGTAGCAGATGAGTTTCAGTGTGTATCCAAAAGGGTACACGTGACAAGGTACGCGTTAAATAACAAAACGTATTGATAGAATTTCGATATTTTTGTTTTTTCCTATTGGATAAAGCGATCCTTTTAAAAGGGAACGTCTCGGAAGAATTGAATTTAACGATTTGGAACGTGGTCGTGATAACGATTATATTCAATCCAAAGTTATATGAAAGATAGTACAACGAATCGGCCGTGAAACAAGTAGCGTTGAAAAACCGCAGAGCGGCTTTGGTCGTTGGTTTCGATTCAGTTGATTCTGACGACCAAAGTCGAGCCATCCGTGCGGCTTTCGGCGCGTTGCCAAATATTTATTCGCTTCGTCGAGATTCCTCTTTGGAGATGCACCGACCGTATTACATCTCTGTATGCATGCATTTATGTATGTGTGTTATGTATTTTATATCGGCAAATTGCAATTTCGAGAAGGAAAAGAAGTTCTAAATTTTTATCTTATATTCATTCTTTTTCATTCTCATATTTTCGTTTTTCGAATATTTCAATTATTATATTAATATTAAATAACAATAATTATTAATTCGGAATTATTGAAATACGTATATTAAGATAAATCAAAAGTTCTATTTTTATTTTGTGGTTTTTTAATTGAAAAATAAAAATAAAGGAAACTTAAAAAATCTTGACAAGAAAACAATTGATCCTTATGATAATCGAATTACGAATTATCACAAAATGGCGCCATAATATTACGTTATAACTAACCTCTAAAATTGTTTTCTATTATACAATTCTTTTATTATTATTTCTAATAATATCCTACGACAAGTATTTAAATACAATTCGAATCCCAATTACAATTTGAGATTGCTTATTTTCAATGACCAACTTGAAACTTTTGGTTTATATTAAAGCAAAAGTAACATTTCAGGAAGAAAATTAATCTCGAGAAAGAAAAAGGAAAATGTATGAATAGAATGTTATCAAAAACTCGAGTTAACGTTATCGAGAAGAAAACTATTATAGATTTTTTCGGGATACAATTGTTGAGGTACACGTAAGTCTCGAACATAGTAGCCGAAAGCTCTTTATGTCCGTTAACTGTAGCCGATTTTGTCGAGTAGTTTCGTGACTCCTCGCCATGTTGGGTTCTGTTAAAATTGAAGGCCTTATCTCGCGAACTAGTTCAATTAGGATCTCGACGCGGAAAGCAGCGATTTTCTCATCAGAAGGACCGACGCGGAAACTTTAATTAGTCCATTACTCGTAGATATCTCGGTTTTAGAGCTTCTTCGAGACTCCTTTTACGATAGTAACCATCGTCTCGATCGCATAACTAACGTTACCTTCATTTTTATTCATACATAATTTTGCCGCTTAATTTTTCTTAAACATTTATAAGTAATTTTCGTAATAATAATAATAATAATAATAATAATAATAAACGAATTATAAAATATTATAATTTTTACTGTTCAAATAATATTACTTATTTCGTATTTATTTTTAAACTTATAAGTTATGGTTATTAATCTTTTCGTTATTATCGACCCATATACGGATTGTAAAATTCAAATAAAACAAAATTAAATAAAAATAATAATAATAATAATAATAATAATAAAAAATATTTAACCTAAACGATTAAACATCGAACTTCATTATATATGAAACATTTAGTTTATTGATCAAACAATTATTACAGCAAACGAATACGAGTTGTTTCCATTGTAACGATATTTGGTAGAGAACTGTTATCGAATGGAAATAAAATATATTGAGAAAAACAAAAAAAAAAGAAATGTTATTTTTATAAAAATCCAGTATACGTGTGTGCGCGCGCGCTTACGCGTGTACCAATTCGACTTGAATGTTGCCGTGTAATAGGAAGCGTTTTTCACACCGCACTTTATTTTATTAATTTAAACACAGAGCGTATCTCTGTTACTGGCAATTCGCGAGTGCAATAGGATTCGATTTTATCCGCTACGTTCGGATCACGCTGGACGGATTTTAATAAACGATTCGAGTTTGGTTTGGCGACTGAGGGAACCAGAAAAAAATGAAAATACAAAAAAAGAATAAAAGCGAGAGAGAGAGAGAGAGAGAAGTCAAAGAAACGTCCTTTCAATAATTCCTTCTCGAATCCGACTAGCCATTGTCCCCACATTGTGTAGATACATGTATGCACACGTGTACATATATTGGTATAACGGGTTCAGAGGGTCCTTTGAAAGAAGGATGAAGTTATAGTTGGCAAACAAAGCAATTAACGCCCGTTTGGTTCAACCCCGTCGAAACGTTTTATTTTTTTCTTTCTTTCCATAAAAATAATATATCTCTCGCATATATCTATATTTTGTTATTGTGTGTGTGTGTTTTTTTTTCTTTCTTCTTGTGATTTTAGATAAAGGATGGAAAAGTCAAAAGTTCCTAGACGATTATAAAAATCAATCAATCTTTTCGCGAAACTTTTTAGGTTAATTGTATTTTTTCGATCGCAATACTAAAAGGTTAGAAATTTGTTTATCACGTTGAAAATTTGATTTCGAAATATAAGTCTAATCTATCTTTCAAATTACCTGGTAACTTTTAACCTATCTGTGAACTTTGAGTTGTCCTTTCGGGGATTGTTTTTTTATCGATAAATTAGGAAACGCCAAAAGAAAAACAAAATGCCAATTGGTAAAGAAAAATATGTATGAAAATAAAAATATTCGATAAAATGAATATTGAAAGAAATACGAGGAAAAAAAATTGATGATCTAGGGTTATCCCATATTGGTGATTAAAATGTCATTGATTTTTAAATACTAACAAAGTATTCATAAATATTATACTTACAAAACATCTATGGGGGACAGGGTAGACCACTCACGACGAGGCCGTGCCTTGTTGGGCATTTGCGTTAAGTTTGGTTGTTCACATTCTTGAAATTCCTACAAACAGAGATCACGAATTATTGAACAAACAGTCACATTATCTTTATCATCTAATGTAAAGTAAAATATATCATTTAAGGTATGATTTTAAACATTCAGTTTAGTCAATTATTTATTCTGTATGTATGTATATTTCTGCGGTGTCTGAATATTTCAAAAAAAAAATAAAAAAAGGCAAACAAATAATGGAAGAATTTGTTTGTTCAGTAAACGCAGAAGAAGACGAGGCGGCGTGGGCGAAATCTTTCTGGAAAATCGAATATTTGTGCACTGAGAATATTCTCCCTCTTTTCTATAATAGATTAGCCAACCAAAGTAGGAAAAAGAAACTCAATTAAAAACTTAAATCAATGAGATTCGGCACGAGAATCTTGTTTTGACGTACGCAATTATAAAGAAATCAAAATTCGCGCCAACATTGAAATTTTTGTTATAATTTCGCGTTCATTCTTTAGGTAGCGGTTATGCGGTTATTTTTCGACGGGATTAAAAAGTGAAGAATAAGAAAAAGGAACAAAAAAAAAAAAACACAGATAGAAAGATAGAAAAGAAGTTTAGCGTAGCTTTTCTCTCGGCACTAACCAACCACCCTTCCACCTTCCCCATTTTAAAACCCGCCACAAAGTTCGCAAAGTTCACAAAGTTCAAGTAGATTGTCTGCGGCATCTATCGGGCAATTTTTACTCGAGGCTCGATGAAGTTTTACACGCAAAAAAAGATAAGAATAAAAAAAGTCAAAGGAAAGCCCGAACCAGATTGTAAAAATTCGATTGATCTTCACGAGAAATTTAAAATAAAAGAAAAAAATATTCAAAGGGATAATGTATTTATCGATGAAAATTACGTTTATATTGATAATTGTAAGGGAAAAAGAAGAAAAAAATTAACTAGGAAATTTAAAGTTAAAAATATTGTTTTGTAGTTACACCATAAAAATGTGAGATACTAATCCAAATGATTTAGAATATTTCTACTAATGCATATAAACATAAAGATATAATAACGATTTATTTTTATTATAATATTGCATTATAATAAAGGGTTACCAAAAAGTTACTAGATCATTACGAAAGATGATGGCTATTATCAAAAACAAAATGGTGGCCATTTGAAAGACTTAACCTACAAAATAAATGAAAAATCATTTCCTAAAAGTATATTTATTGTTTATAAAAAAATAAATTCGAATTTGTAATATATGAAAGAGTTATTTTATTTTTTTAATAGTCTAATAATAAAATAATATTAGTAAAAAGAGAGGTATAAGAATTACAATTTTCTCAGTTACACGAACATTTGGTAATAATGAATTAAGAGCCAAGAATATTTATTTCAATTATGAAACTTCATAAATAATACAAATGAAAATAGATAATCCTAGGAGGAAGAAGAAGAGAAAAGTAAAAAATTGCATTGAAATTCTGTTCGTGATATTATCAAAGCCAAATTCGTTGCTGGTTAAATAGAGAGAGAATTGTGGGGGGATAGAGTTGAGGATTTAAAACAAAAAAAAAAAATAAAAGAGGAAACTGGGATTTGAAGACAATGCAGTAGAGGCCTAGGAGGATAGACCGAAACAAACCACCATTATACATATAGTTACATGCATATATATATATATATATATATATATATAGTACTGCAGTGATACGTGCAAATCTCCGAGCCAGAAATAAAGAAAGAAAGAAAGATAGCAAAGTAGAAAGAAAGAAATAGAACATTTTTTTGACAAGCATTGTTTGCACCCACTATCGATCATCGTTGAGCCACTGTTTGCGGATTGAGTTCCGTTCTGACACGGAATGATCGTTTAGGAAGGTTTAAACCCTATCCGGATTTGCTTTTCTATGCTTGGCCCTGCATCAAGCTAATCTTTTGTCGAGATCGAAACTTTGCCAGTTGGCAAAAAAATAAACGAAGAAAAAGAAATGAAATACAAGAACAAAAATTTTTTCAAATCCCCTCTAAATTACTAGATAGGATAATTGGGATGTACCTTTGGTAAGATAGAAATCTTATGCCTAGAAAGAATATTTACAAATTGTTATTTTTATAAGTTTCTTCTAAGGTCTCTTTGAGTTTATTTTAATTTAAAATAAATAATTTTAAATATTAACATATTCAATTTATTTGTTATTTCTATGACATTTATTTCTAATTTGGACAATAAGCATAAATTATTAGATAAATGTTCACACATACGTCTATTAGTAATGTAATATATAATAGTAATATGAACAGTCTAATAGGAATGGCAATGAAATAACAATTCGTTCTTCCATTGGATGATTTAAAGAGACTACAAATCATATCCACACGGGTCTATTGGATCTCACATTGCGTTTTTACTTTAATCGCAATGGTAATTTGTTCTTGAAACTATGCTTCTCTCTCTCTCTCTCTATTTCTTTCTCTTTCTCTCTCTCTTTTACCTATTATCGTGTAATGCAATAATATCATAACGTTCTATTTATGGGTTAATCCGTTAATGTTACCGTCTCTATATCTATATCTAATTCGGGTAATTTAGGCTCATTAAATTATAGTGGAAGGACGATTATCTCCAGAGCGACTCGAGGGACAAAACGTGATGGTTCAATAAATTGAAGCTTACTTCTATTTATGCATCCCCACGAGAAATTATTTATTTATAACAAATGTATATTTTTTATTTGAAAATATAATATAATCTAATATACGAATTATTTACTTTCATCTCGTTAAAGAGACATTTTTGTTATCGATATCAAAATTAATCATCAAATATATCCGTTAAATATATCTCGACAATTTCTTTTTACACTTTTTTAAATTATAAAATAATGAATAAACAAAATTTGATACGCGCGTATGAATTGTTCGATAAGTAATCTCGTTTTTTGATGTTTACCGATATACCCAACCTTACTCTAAACCCAGAATTCCCGTGGAACACAGTTTCAAGACCATTGCTTTAAATGTTTCTTGACTTAAATCTTGAGGAAGAAAACAAATCAGATTTTTCACGTTATAAGTTTTACGTTTAACGTTTATAATATCGTATTATGTAAAGTATATAAACGGATGGCGATAAGAATTTCCATTTAAATTGTTTCCTTTTCTCGAAGCTATGCCATGTCAGCGCGAGTAGCAAGAGAACTCGAAAGTTTCTTCTCTTTTCATCTCTCTCTCTTTCTCTCTCTCTCTCTTCCCTTTTTCAGGTATGCAAATTCAAAGTTGCAGTACACCTATCCCTTTCTCTCTCTTTTTCACTTCCTTCCCTCTCTTTTTCCCCCTTACATTCTTATTCGTTCTCAAAGATTAATTCGAAATTTTTGTTTCTCTTATTTTTTCTTCATCTTCGTCTCTTATGCGTTATCCTTGTTTACTATATTATAATTGCATGTTCTACTTGAACCAAACTTAATCTAATCTGACCTCGTCTTTCTATTCTATTCTTTACCTATGAGAAATTTCAACCGATCACGGATTTAGAAATGATGATCTTGCTTTTCTCATATCCAGATTCGTTTGAATTTAACCAATAGAAATTTTTCGTATTCCTACTGAATAGAGGAGTTCGTTTTCGTCTAACCATAAGTGGGTTTGACTATACTTTGAAAGGATCAGAAAAATATTCAATGCCAATATTTAAATTCAGACAGAATTTGGATTAAGAAATGAAAGAGAATTTTGTGAGAAAATTATTTTCCGCCCTATTTTCTTTTTTGAAATTTTACATGAAAAATTGAGTGAGAAATTTCTGTTTAAGAAAAATTAATGGTAAATTTTGTGCGTAAACATTTGAATTGTAAAAAAAAAAAAAACGCGTGATGAGAAGAAAAGAAAATGATTAGAAAATTAGAAATAAAGAAATTTAATTTAAATGTAGTAATACACGTAAAAGTAATTTTCCCTTATCGAAGAAAGTCAAATTATTTTCGTTTGGTAAAGGAAATGTTAGATGTTAGACATCGTGTGAGATAAGCCACATAGTCTAATACCAGGGAGGAGGAAAAGAAAGAGAGAGAGAGGGAGAGAGAGGGAGAGAGAGAGAGAGAGAGAGAGAGAGAGGAAGAGAAGTTTTGTCTTGCTGCGACAGATAAACGTTATCTTATGAAACGAGGAGAAACTTATTGCCTGGCCTTGAGGGTTAAAGATGATACGGGTAGACGCTTGAAATATGATTTTGTCGGGATCCTACCAGGGAATTTCGTGTCATTCATTTATAATTCGTGAATTCAACTTTTACTCTGGAATCTTTTATCTTTATTTTTATTTTTATTCTTATCTTATGGTCAGATTATCGTTCTTTGTTTTTTCGGGACAAAGCGTTGTGACCTAAAAAGAAAAAAAAAATAGATAGTAAAAATGTTTTGGATAATTTTTGTACTCTTTTTTTTTTTTTTTTTTTTAAAAAAATTGATCAGAAAATTTTGTTCCGTTAACAAAATNATAAAATTGATCAGAAAATTTTGTTCCGTTAACAAAATGAGTAAGGGTGAAAGAAAAAATATATATAATAATAATAATTTTGAACTTAATTAATTTCTAATCGTAAATCAAATTTGTGTTTGATAAACACACCCCTACGATATTCCTAGTTTCTTTTCTACAAAATTTATAACGAAGTTGATGAAATCACGTTGATACCGAATAAAAATTACAACACAATATTATTATTTTTATTAACGATTACCAAAAAAAAAGGAAGAAAGAAAGAAAGCAAGAAATAAAGACATGATTTTTCTTCTAAATTGTTAAGAAACGACACAAAAGATGTAACTGTAGGTTGGAATAGCATTGACTATTTTTCAAGTAGTTTTCTTTATCCGTATTCCTAAAGAACAGGGAAAGGCTTCTCCTCGAAGATGCACTTTATCAAATCCCTGAAGAGTACACGTAGGTCAATAGAAAGAGATAGAAAGAGAAGGGAGAGAGAGAGAGAGAGAGAGAGAGAGAGAGAGAGAGAGAGAGAAGTGGGTATCCCTTTCAATGCCAATATCAAGAACGCTTGA